TTTTTATACTGCTTTGCTTAAAAATTTACTGTTTGCCACTTAAAGCCTTGTTAGCTCAATGGTAGAGCAATTGACTCTTAATCAAGAGGTTGGAGGTTCGAATCCTCTACAAGGCACCATTAAAAAATTATTTTTCTGCGCAAGCTAGTTAAGGAAGTTTTTTATTTACTTGGTACGGACAGAGGGACTTGAACCCTCACGCTAAAAGCACTAGAACTTGAAGCTAGCATGTCTACCATTCCATCAGGTCCGCTTTTCCTATTTTTCCTATAATAAATTTTTACATGGCTAATTAAGAATAATAAATTCCCCAAGTTTACAAATTACTTAAAAAAATTTTAAAAAACAATTAAAAATTAAAATATGTATACGGTGTTCGAAATAAAAAGCAGAAAAGGCGGGGCGCGGCAAATTAGTATTGATAAAGTTAATGAACTGCTCCAAATTGATTATCAAAAAAATACTAAACCCGGAAGCAAGATTGTCTTTGACAAGGTTTTAAGTTGTGAAGGCGAGGAGTTCGGGCAACCTTATTTAAAAAATGTGCAAGTAATTGGAGAAGTAGTTGAACATCAAGGAAAAAGAAAAAAAATTGTCATTGCCAAACGGAAAGCCAAAAAACGTTACAAAAAAAAACAAGGTCACCGGCAAGCATATACTTTAATTAAGATAGTAGATATCGCTAAATTAACTTAAACCGCCAAATTAGTCCCTTTACAAAATTAAAATAAGTAAAAAATAGTAATATGCGAACGGCAGTTATTCAAAAGGAAAAAATAGTTCAGGAAATTCAAGGTAATCTCCAAAATTCTAAGGCAGTTATTTTTTATAATTTTCATCATATTGATAATGAAAAACTTTTTGCTTTAAAAAAAGAACTTAAAAAAGTCGGCGGATTCTGAAAAGTTTACAAAAATACTTTAATTAGAAGGGCCTTAATGAATAAAAAAGATTTAGAATTCACCCAACCTAATGCTTTAATCTTTTGTCAACAAGATGAATATCAACCACTCAAAATTTTAGATAAATTCGACCAAGAACACTATGAAGAAAATAAAATTAGCGGTGGTTGGTATGAAGAAAATTATGTTTCCGCGCAAACCTTGGTTCAATGGGCAAAATTACCGAGTAAGATGGAATTATTACAAAGTTTATGCTATTACCTAACTTACCATTTACGGCGCCTGGTTAACTTGGTAGAGCAAATAAAAAATCAACCAAAAACAACTTAAAAAAATAAGTTAAGATTAAGTTATTTTAAAATTTTTATTATGCTTCTTAAACTT